GGGCTGTGGAGAAATGGAGTCCAACCACAGGCTAGAACGACCATTTTGCCCACCTGTGCTCTAGGAACTAATTTGCCAGCGATACTGTAGCTCATGAATACTGTGAATGATTAAAAAAGGGCTCAATTTTGCTTCCCAAGGGGTGTGCGGACAGACATAAGATTTGAAGTGTTTTAAACAGGTCTGAAATGACTTTAAAATGTTTCAAAAGGCTCTAGCATAGATGCACATGTGGGATAAAAATGCTCCCAAGCCTGACAAAAATATATCTGCAGGGCGCAACGATTATTTCATGCCTTTTTGTTCCACATGATGTTTACATGGGTCCCCCAGTCCTCTAGCATCCCACAGTACAGCGCTCTCCACCCCCTTTACTGTCTTCCAGCACCCTGGCCACTGCTGCTCCCCTGTAGAGCACTGGGAGCGGTGCTGCTAAAGCCCTGCCATAGGGAGGAGACCCACAGTCCACTCCCAGTGCAAGACCCCTGCTGTAAGTCCCCAGTGTCCTCCCCGCCAGAGCTGGGGTTCCAGCCCACCAGCCCCCAATCTCCACATTTCTTCGCCCCAACAGGGGGCCCTCAAGGAGTGAGGAGAGCATTTATTAATGTTGACCTGCTCCTCCCTTCTTTTCCTGTGAGAGGTGGGAAGGACCACAGCCCCAGTAGATGTGGGTTGTGGAGCTGCATGGACAATCCACTCCTCTCTGCTCCCCCACCACAGGTTGCTGCAGCCCCTGTTATGTCCCTAGCTGGGAAGCATGTTGCTGTACACAGCAACGCTGATTTTGAAGTGCTTTGGCCTGGGGCAGGGGCAGGACAAGGGCTGTATATGGGTCCAGTAGCTGAAATGGTACATTTTAAAAATGTTCCCAAGCCTTTTACACTTGGAAATGTTTCAAATGTTATGACTGTTTCCATCCTAAGAAAGCCTGGAGTTCCTTGCCAGCTCTGCGATTCTGTAATTCATTGACTAGGGCCTCACCCTTGGAGTTCAGCCATTGGTTTTAATGTGAACAAGGATGACTGAGTCAGACAAAATTATTAGCAATTTCCTTTATGTTCCTCTACATCAGATACAGTTTCTGAAATTGGAGCTAAAATTAGTTAAACCCATGCTCTGTGTCTAAAGTGGATGATTTTTTTTGTGGTAGATGCTAGTATATATTGTTGCATGCAAATCATAAGCCAAAAGGGCGAGAATTGAATCTTACTGAATTCCACGTCCCGTTAACCCACTGTGTACAAGGTTGCTCTCTGCAAGGTGCAGTGGAGTTGGGCCTTTTCGTCCAGTCACAGTGGTCCTCAACTGGGCAGTAAACATGTCTTTCTTGCCAGCCTCCACCGCATGTTCTTGAACACTAAGGTAAAATTGTGCACAAAAAAAGAGTAGAAAGAAAGTAGTTTTGGGTCCCAACACAAAATAGAAGTGAAAAGCAAGAAACATTTATTTTATAAATGCAGGATCATTGAAAAGGTAACAAGAGCATTCTTCTGAAATATTTCATGTGATATTAGCAAGGGCAGCTTAGTACAGGCATCAGATCTGACAACCAAACGATGACAATAGCCATGTTAATGATTCTCATTCATACTGACAAAAAGCCAGGAAAGAGGAATAAGGAGTACTAGACAGAACAGCAGTAAAAAGATCACTCCTCACATGTATAGTAGAAGTGACATAAGAGTACTCAGATTTGGTATGGCATGGATGACTCATATAGTCAGAAAGTAAGTCATGGCTTTTACATGGGATTTGCAGGATTTTGCAGGACTTTCATATGAGATTATTGCTCACTGGGACAAATGTATGAGATGCAAGGTCCCATTTTCATGAGACAGCTGGGGATATGAAAATTTATCCAGCATATACTAACAAGCTAGCTATAACATGGAAATGAAAAGCAACACAGACAAACTATGATTAAAAAAAAAATTTGTACCTGCTTTTATAAGTAAACAAAGGCAGAAATACTTTGGATAACATTTTGCTCTTGATTTTCATGGAATTTTTGATGAGCTGCTTTCTATAAAGAGATCTGCTCTCCCTACAAGGTGAACAGCATCAACATTGACACACACGCCGAATAGAACAGAATATTACCCTTAAATCAGATTTTAGGGAGTGAGGAGCCATATAATTTTTTCAGCATGAAAAATGCAGACATGGAGGAGCAATGAACTTTATAAGCCATCTTAAATAGAAAAAAGACAGTGCTGGAAACTTTTGGGCATTTCCTATTCCCCATGCTTTGGTGGTTTAAACAGAACAGAATCTCTATCCATCCTGCGTGCTGGATTTGGTATGCAAAACAGAAGCCCAGCAAATGAAATTTTATGAAGCCAAAATGAAACACCTTCAGCCCAGCTAGCATTTTCGGTTTGGATTTTCCATAGACCCAAAGGAAATTAGGTGATAATCCTTCACTGAATTTCAGTAGAATTCAGGTACAGAAGTTTCAAAGGAAAGCAGGGCTGCAAAGCACTTCATAAGGTCATCTAGTCCACCCTCCTGCTGAAGTCAGGACTGTTCCTGACCAAACCATCTCAACCAAATGTCTGTCTAACCTGCTCTTGACAATTTTCAGGGATGGAAAGCCTACAACTTAGCTAGGTAGCCTGTTCCAAAGCTTGACCACTCTGAGTCAGAAAGTTCTCCCTAATGTCCAAACTAAATTTCCCCTGATGCAGCTTGAGTCTATTGCGCCTAGTACTGTCTGCTGTGGCCATAGAGAATAGCATATTTCCAGCCTCTCTATAATTGCCCTTCAGGTATAATCACCATTAGACACATTTGAAAATCCCAGCTTTAATTTTGAAGAAAAAAACTAAATTGGTTGTAGCAGGAAGACAATGCAGAATGGCAGCAGGAGGAAACAGGCTCAACAAGTAACCATTTTCTGGCATAATACTGTAGCTCAAACAAATGCTTATGAAAACAGCTTTTGCCACTCAAATTCATGGCATGGACATTTACAGGCGTGGCTATATATGGTATGCAGCCCTATGAGTGGCTTGGGGATGGACTATTTCTATCCTAAGTATTGTGGGACCACAAACAGGGACCTCAGAGCCTGTGATTAGCAATTGCAATGTCTTCCTTGGAGGGTAAATTCACATAATAGCAGGAGACATAATAGTCATTTAGTAATTGACAGTTAATTGTTCATTCGAATAGCTTGTTTTATAGGACAATACCTCATTCCAGGGCTCTGCACGCCACTCCACACAGGGCTCTGTATTACAACGGATGTTCAGCTGTGGTTTATGTCCTACTAATTGGCAATGAAAAGGCCTTAGAACTCGCTTATCATGAACATCTGTGCACTGAATATCACGGGTCCTGAAACCACCACCACAGTTGGTAGAGCACTGTACACGGAACAGAAAGGAGCACGTCTTTTAGATGAGGGAACTCTGACAGCCTGTCATTTCCACATTTGTGGGGGATCACAACAAGCACAGTATATTTGTTTTGTGCAACACGACTGGAATGTCCTGTTTATCTTTGGAACAATTAGGTTGAAAAATCATATTATTCATCAGAGCAAATCTGAACGCGCCATGATTATTAATAGCTGATTCCAAAAGGGTCACGGCAAAAGGGAGTCATAATAGATAATAAAAAATGGATGCTCAAGCAAGCATATTTTAAAGTACCTTTGTGCTGTAAGGAAGAAATAAGCTAACTGCCAATCAGGGTCTTGTGGGAAGGCTGTGCGAATAAT